CAATTAACATTGAGTGAATTACTAATTCAATTAATGTTGCGTAGATTTAGGTCTGTTAAAGATTATTATAGAGGTTGTGGAGGGTAAAAACCTTCTCATTGGTAGTATTTTCTACATAATTGTAATGTGAGTTTTGTTGATTTATTGGAGTAGACATTAATTTAAAAATAGTATGTCATTTTGTTGTATGATGGAAGTTGCTTGGGATTGAAAAAATTTATAGATTGTTTCTAAAATTTTGAGAAAGTGATTGTACCACACAATTTTATGTTTGACATGTCACTTTTTTAACTATTAGCATTGTACCACGTGCGTTGCACATAAATAATTTTCGTACACAAAACTTAATAACACATATTAGATATGTGTATTTAAATTAAATATCATCTCAAAATTACTAAACTTAATTTTTCATTGCTTATATTTTGTTATAGGAATATGAAAATTTTGGGAATGTAATAAATTCGTCTTTCTAACTATAACAAGAAAGATAAAAAAAAAAAAAAACTATATCTACGATTATTTTTTTAACTTAGAAATAAAATGGTTAAACTTTTCAATTTTTTTGATGGAGTTTTTGAAATTATTTTTTTAACTTAGAAATAAAAGGGTTAGATTGATGGAGTTTTTAAATTTTTTTTGAACTTTATTAAAAGTATAATAATGCATATATTTTTAAGAGTAATATAGTCAATCAAAAAATTTCAAAAAAAACTTATATTTATACATAGAGAATAGATAATTAAAAGTGATAATAAATTCATAACAATATGATAATAATTTATATATTTAATTTTAAAATGATAAAGTGGTTTTTGCAATTCTTTATAAGGGTAAAATAAAGAATCAAAAGTTTTTATGTTGCGGTACTTTTATTAGTAGTATGAATATAGATTCATATAGTGCATTTTTTATGGTTAGTTATTCATGTGTGAAAAAATAGTTTTAAGTTGCTTTAGATGCATAAAAAGTGCATGTTTACTTTTCAATCTCATCTATTTTATTTGGTCTTTTGTACAGGCTCAAATTGATTTGATAGACCCAATTAAACTTAAGGAATGTCATGTGGGGTTTATAGTCTAAAAATATAGTTTAGACTTTTAGCTTAATGCATGTATATGTTCAGTATTTGATTATTTCATGTTCAAGAACATGTTATTTATTTAATTATTTTTTGAATTGCACAATGTCTTTAGGCATGGGTTATAAAGGCAGTTTAAGCTGTCAGCTTAGTATGCGTCTAAGTTCAGTGCTTAATTTTTTTTTAATTATATCGTATTTTCAGGCACGGGTTACCCAAGTAGATAGATCTAAGAGTGACAAAATTGTNAAAAACTGATATTTATACATAGAGAATAGATAATTAAAAGTGATAATAAATTCATAACAATATGATAATAATTTATATATTTAATTTTAAAATGATAAAGTGGTTTTTGCAATTCTTTATAAGGGTAAAATAAAGAATCAAAAGTTTTTTATGTTGCGGTACTTTTATTAGTAGTATGAATATAGATTCATATGGTGCATTTTTTATGGTTAGTTATTCATGTGTGAAAGAATAGTTTTAAGTTGCTTTAGATGCATAAAAAGTGCATGTTTACTTTTCAATCTCATCTATTTTATTTGGTCTTTTGTACAGGCTCAAATTGATTTGATAGACCCAATTAAACTTAAGGAATGTCATGTGGGGTTTATAGTCTAAAAATATAGTTTAGACTTTTAGCTTAATGCGTGTATATGTTCAGTATTTGATTGTTTCATGTTCAAGAACATGTTATTTATTTAATTATTTTTTGAATTGCACAATGTCTTTAGGCATGAGTTATAAAGGCAGTTTAAGCTGTCAGCTTAGTATGCATCTAAGTTCAGTGCTTAATTTTTTTTTAATTATATCGTACTTTCAGGCACGGGTTACCCAAGTAGATAGATCTAAGAGTGACAAAATTTTAATGTTTGTCAATCTCCTAAATTCGTTTTTAATTTTAGTTTTACTTCACTTCTAAAAGAAATGGATAGTTTGGTAAAATTGACAAAAAAAAAACTTTATAACAAATAATTTTTTTTTGCGGACTTAAGTCCATATAAAGAAACTGATCTCCAAATTTTTCCCCCGAAAACCTCTATTACATAACCATATTGGATTTATATCATGTTCCATATAACCAATTCAGATAATCTTCGATATTTTTTTTATTTTTTATTTTTCACGAGCGAAAGATTCAATTATAAGCAATATTTTCTACTTGAATTTACGGTCAATGATGTGTTAAGAAAGAAAATGGTGATAACAGAGCATCTCTCTCTAATTTTATTTTAAATTTTTTTATTAGAAGACTTATGTACACGAAGCATGTTGTATTTAAATTTGTGATGGGTGATTTAACATTGATAAAAATTAACAGAAGGTGTAGTGTTGGGATCCAAATCCGAAATTCTTTTCCAAAATAGCCAGATATTTCAATCAATAGCTAAACATTTATTTCGAAAATATTTCAATTAAATATAATTTGTTTTAATTTTTGTAATGGAAGATTACCTATCAAATATTAGTAGAAGACCTATTTATATAAAAGGGTGGGGTTATTCCTACCCCTTAAATTTCTTTTCTCACCCCCATTTAATCATCTTATTTCAAACTATTAAGTTCATCCCATCTATACCAACCTCAATTAGTTACTAAACTCATGTCATCTATATTCACTAATTAAAAATTATATTAATTCAATTTTATTTCAACCTATATGTACATGCAATAATCAAAATTTTGTTTCGATGTATTATTTCGGTACAAAAATATTTAAGAAGTAGAATAAAAATTAATAATTATTTTTAAAATATTAGTCGAAATATACCAAATTATCTTAAAATACCTCAAAATATTTCAAAAACATTGGTGAAAATATATCAAAATATCTCAAAATAATATAGATCATGTCAGAACATTGAAATTTCGTTTCAATTACTATTTTTGTTTCAGTTTCTTTGACATATATTTACTAATTTAATTGAATGTGTATAAATGAAATGAATTTAGTAACTAATGAGATAGGTATAGATGAAGTGAACTTAGTAGTTTGAAGTAAAATGATTAAATAAGGTGAAAAAAGAGATTCAAGGATAAAAATGTTGCATTTAAATTTGTGACTGGTTATTTAACATTGAAAAAAAATTTTAGAGACTATATTGTCAGCATCCAAATATGATATTATTCTCCAAAAGAGCAATGTTATTGTAACATAACTTAAGTACTTAGATTGCCAGTGAGTTCCAACATTAAATTATCACTGGACCTCAACACTATCAATCTAATGGTAATAATGCATTAATTCCACAAACTATGCTCCTAAATTATGTTCAAATAACATTAGTCCAAAAGCAGCCAGCCAGATATGCCACTCATTATCTAAAACATTATTTTGAAAATATTTAAAATTTAATATAATGTGGTTGGCATCCACCAATCTTGGGGGTTGAATCCGTAACCAAGTTTTTTTTTGGTTCTTTCTTCTCGGTGTCTGTCCATACCAAGGTATCGTCCCTGGTTGGTCTGGATCACTTGAATTTGGTCTGGTTTATGGATTGACCCAAGCTGCAAATATAATGGGCAGGTAAGGGTGTAGGTCGATGACCTTCTAAACAAAAAAAAGAAATGAACTTTTCATGTTTATACGGAGTTGAATTTCCCCCAACACATTTTTCTTGATTCCGCCCAATAANATTGGTGAAAATATATCAAAATATCTCAAAATAATATAGATCACGTCAGAACATTGAAATTTCGTTTCAATTACTATTTTTGTTTCAGTTTCTTTGACATATATTTACTAATTTAATTGAATGTGTATAAATGAAATGAATTTAGTAACTAATGAGATAGGTATAGATGAAGTGAACTTAGTAGTTTGAAGTAAAATGATTAAATAAGGTGAAAAAAGAGATTCAAGGATAAAAATGTTGCATTTAAATTTGTGACTGGTTATTTAACATTGAAAAAAAAATTAAGAGACTATATTGTCAGCATCCAAATATGACATTATTCTCCAAAAGAGCAATGTTATTGTAACATAACTTAAGTACTTAGATTGTCAGTGAGTCCCAACATACATTAAATTATCACTGGGCCTCAACACTATCAATCTAATGGTAATAATGCATTAATTCCACAAACTATGCTCCTAAATTATGTTCAAATAACATTAGTCCAACAGCAGCCAGATATGCCACTCATTATCTAAAACATTATTTTGAAAATATTTAAAATTTAATTTAATATAATGTGGTTGGCATCCACCAATCTTGGGGGTTGAATCCGTAACCAAGTTTTTTTTTGGTTCTTTCTTCTTGGTGTCTGTCCATACCAAGGTATCGTCCCTGGTTGGTCTGGATCACTTGAATTTGGTCTGGTTTATGGATTGACCCAAGCTGCAAATATAATGGGCAGGTAAGGGTGTAGGTCGATGACCTTCTAAACAAAAAAAAGAAATGAACTTTTCATGTTTATACGGAGTTGAATTTCCCCCAACACATTTTTCTTGATTCCGCCCAATAATAGATCACCTACTAGAATTCAAGAAAAATTCGCTTTATACAGGATATATGAACCAACATAGAGATATACAATGGAAATTTGTGAAAGACTTGGAAAAAGAAATTGCATGAAAAGGAAACAAAACTTCCGAGTATAAACGTGATCAATCAAATGATTACAGATTTCAATGCTCAGCGTGTAGAAACATGTTTATCTACAATTCAGGTAAGAAGCCAGAACGGAAGCCAATTTTGCAGGCCTCGCTTCGTGGAAGGAGCTGGTATGCAAATGACAACTGAATCAATTGCTTTGTGAACTGGTGATGATCAATCATGTAATTTGTTAAAGTAGACCAAGCGAAGGACTAAAGCGATTCTCAGTTGCACAGGGTCCAGTAATTGGCCATGGCTAATCAGTAGAAAGAAGGCACAGAAATAAAGTCTAACTTCGTTTCAGATAATTTTCTGTGCAACAAAATTTTGTCCCCAGCAAATAAAACTTAGGACCACAGCTTACTTGTAAGAGAAAAAAACAAGCTCTACCAATTTATCTGCAGAAGACCAATTGATCTTGTATAAAAGCAACAAGTGACAGAACAGTAATTTTTTCGTGGAAGATAAAGTATATTAACATCAAACAACAGACATCCTCTTCGCGATCCACCTCTTCTTGGCATTTTCTTCAGCTTCCTCGCTCATCTTCAAGAGTTCATGACAATATTGGTGATACTGCATTTCAATTGCATTAAGCTTTAGCTTCAGCTCATGGCAATGAGCTGTATCATTGTTGTTGGTAAGAGGTAGAGAAGAGATGCTCAAACTGAAATCATTTGATAAGGCATCGCATGAGGAAGTAAAAGAGATCCCTGAGTTTTTAGTGTCTGCACTCATATTGCTAGATTCACCTACACTTCCCTCATATCCATTAGAATCGCACTCCTTCAAACACTGAATGTAGTCAGCAGATCTCAAAACCCTGTAATGATTGGCATCTGAGGCAGATTTCTCAATAGGTTTGGCTGATATTTGGACTGAATCTTCAGTTCCATGATTCTCTACTTTAGCCAGCTGAGAGAGAAAATGCTGCTCAACTGCTCCGTCAGAAACTCCAACTAATGTAGAATCTCTAACACAGCTAACTGAGATTTGGTCATATTTAATCACAGCAGAATCCACAAATGAACTCTCTACTCCGCTAGACCATCCAGATGAAGGTTTCCAGTTTGGTAAAAGTTTTATAATCAGCCTGTCAATCAACTCAGCTATGAAAACCACATCTTCATTGGCCAAATCAAGTTCAACCATCTCGCCAGCTATTGAAAGCGCAGTATCAGCATCAAGATAGAATGTAAAATGAATGTTTCTGACCTTACCTGTTGGAAACACACGAAAAAGCTCTGGTTATGCACAAGAAGAAACTAAACATTGCCTTCTTTGTACAGCAGAATTACTTACCACACAAGTCAGCCATGTGCAGGGTAAATTCGATTGAATTATCATATTTTTTCTCCCCTCTGAATCTGAATTCATTTCTTCCGGTGAATCTCTGAAATTCTAGAGCAGAAACATGAGGACTTTCAGTCATGCTTCTTGCAGAAGTGCTGCTTGATAGCTTACTGCAGTTGGGGGTCTATATCCATGGCAAGAGAATTCGGCTTTGGCAAGTCCACTGATTTGGGCCCAAAATTGGGTAACTGCAGAAGATCAACCATAAGCTCTTTCAGATGAAAGGAATGGATCTTGCAACAGCTCTGCTGCAGATAACCTCTGAGATGCTGGGACCAGACACCTCTCTATAAATTGCTTCACTTGGGGGTCTTCCACTTTACCAAGGGCAGCTGGCTTTATACCCTGCAACCCACCAAATTTAGAAAGATAGTGATATTATCTTATAAAATCTAATGGATGATTATTATGCTGGTTGTTGATTAAATTACGGAAGTGACTTTTTTATATATCTGTGCTTGATTTTTGCACTCACTGTACGGGTATTCAGAAGCAATTAATTGATTTTTATATATCTAACATGCACATGCCAAAAGAATATATGTCAACAAGCTCATTGTAGTCCTCTTCATAGAGCTCTGGAGCCATAAATTCAGGAGTACTGTGAGAAAAACAAATGGATAAAAAATTTTGGTTTACAAGATTGTCAATTGATGTGGTGACTTTTTCAAAGAGAATGAAATAATTACCAATAACACTTCGAGCAGTTGGCTGCTGCATGACCCAAATCTCCAATTTTAACTTCTCCATGATTTCCATTCACAAAAATGTTGTCGCATTTTAAGTCTCTATGAATAATTGGTAGATTATGGCTGTGGAGATAGTGTAAACCTCGGAGGATCTGTCTAGCCCACTTCTTGATGGCCTTCAAATTAACACTCTTATGCTCTTACAGTATCTAATTCCCAAAAGGCAATAACAAAATTAATTTCATATGAAAGCCTGAAAAAATAATTAAAGCCTAGCAGGAATATAGGAAAAAGGATAAAAAGACATAGAAACTCACTGCCTCAAACTGCCTGAAGTGAATAATTCAGTAATAATGTTAATGGTTTTGTTCTCATCATCCACCCACGAGATGTAAGACTCGATGATATTTTCATGTCTCAAAGTCTTGAGAAGGTGAAGCTCTGAATATATTCTTCCCAGATGTTCTNCCACGAGATGTAAGACTCGATGATATTTTCATGTCTCAAAGTCTTGAGAAGGTGAACCTCTGAATATATTCTTCCCAGATGTTCTGGTGTCTGCAACATATCATCAATGCTCACTTGGTTCCAAGCAATTTCTATTCCATCAGCCTCGTCAAACCCCTTATATCTACACTTACCAACAGTGGGAAAAAAAAAAGAAGCAAATTAGTTTAGAAGCTGATAACTGTCCATGCAAATAAGGAACAGCAACTGACTTAAGGCATTAATTATACAATCTACAAACATAAGGAAACAGAAGATGTCTGGGAACCATACACAATCTTGAATGCTCCTCTCCACAGAATTTCATTATACTGAAGGAAAAAAAAAAAAAAATGGTGATGGTAACACTCAACTCAAAAATATAAAACACAAGAGAAAGATATTAAGCAATACAAAATACATAAACTGGCAGAAATAAGAAAGTACCAACAAAATCAAATTAACACGAACACCAAACAGAAGACTGGAACCGCTGTTTTACAAGCAATAGTCGATTAACATTTATCACCTTTTATGTAAACTACAGTGCTGGATGTTTTTTAAAAATAAATAACAAATCTTTATCTTTGAAATTAAATAACTTTTTGATTCTTGTCAGTTACTCGAATAATGAGAATTGATTTATTTCACTTTAGGATATTATACTTAACTTGTCACCGGATCAGGTAGTCCACCCACAACCAGGCTCGTTCATGAACTCAATTAAAAAGCCAACATTCTATATAACTTCATCGCGCATCCTTCATTAAAGTAAAGATGTGATTTTAGAGGACATTTTAACATCATACCAGTACTAATAAAGTTGTTGTAAAGGCCTGGTCTCAACTTGATTCAAAGCTATTATTAATTATGTTAACAATGGACTAATTTAGTCCCATCACACCCCCCCCAATTAGGTTTGTCAAAATTCGACATGACACGAATTAAGCAGGTTTGAGTGAGATCTTAACGGGTTTGAGTGGTAAATAGGTTGCCCTGCCAAACACGTTTAATAAACAGATTGTGTTCGGGTGAGACCTATCAAACGTTTATTACACATTTATCCGTTTAAATAAAATTAATATAATAATAAATTAATAATTATTTTAAAAAATTAGTCAGAAAAAAGAAATAAAGAGATCAATACAAAAAAAAATAAAACACTAGTTTAAAAACAAAGGAGGGGAGAAAGGGAGCAATTAAAAGACAAAGACAAATCAATGCCTTTAATTTTTGTCCCACATCGGCAAATGAGAGAAGATGGGAAGAGCTAACTTGCCTATAAAAGGCAGTGGCCCTTGTCTTTTTTTTTAGCCTTCAACTCTGTTTTTAATGTGAAATTCGACTAAAAATTTATCTTTTTTTGAGATAAGTAAACCTTACATGAAAAAAAGTGGAGTATTAAAATTTGTTAATATAATTTTTTTAAAATTACACAGGTTATATTTGTATTGAAGTTTTCACCCGTTTATTAAACATATCGTATACGAGTTTATATATTTTTCACCCGTCACCCGTTTAACCCGACACGTTTGACACCCCTACCCCTAATACTCGAACAAACACACCCCGAATGTTTTTAGTTTTCTGTTGTGCAAATAACACCAGCTAAAATTTTTTTTTTAAATGTAATTCATTTTTTCTTTTTTGCACCAGTAATAGTAAGCAGGCTTCATCCATAAACGGAATGGCTTGATTTCATGTGAGCAGGGAAAAGAACAGAGATGTGAGTATCCTTCCTAATCTTACTAAACAACTCCTGTGGCCTATTTGTTTGTATCAGATTTGAAAACTAAATACCATCCCCTCCCCTTAACCAGGCTGTGTAATGTTGAAGGAAAGCTTTTGGCATCCATTAAACTGGATAAAGCTCCATTGTAGACTAAGATTTATTTAATTCATGCATTGCCACACACATCGAAACCTGCCACATAGAAACAGTCCAAATACAAAATAATTGTCTTACCGATCAACAATGGTACTGCAACAGAGGCCGAAAAGACAGTATGNGCCACATAGAAAGAGCCCAAATACAAAATAATTGTCTTACCGATCGACAATGCTACTGCAACAGAGGCCGAAAAGACGGTATGTTTTTCTTGCAGCACTGCAAAGCACACATGCCAGCTATTACCAATTCTGGAAGCGGAACTATGATCCCTAAGCTCATAACCAAAAACCACTCCAAAAAGAATAGAAACCCGTATTCATTTACATTGACAAGCAAAAGCAGGTCAACATAGTTCGTCTCCCTAGTGGTCTATGTTGTCAATATATATATTATAACCATTTTCCACAAGGGCCATTTGTTTGATAGAACATGCAATGAAGACCAAATATCCACATGTAGACATGCAACAGTCTTGTCATTATTAATTGCTTAATCAGGCAGAGTCAACAAAATAAAATATCCTACCAGCTTGATCACATTTTGCTTTGCATTGGAAAAAGTTGCTTGCCCTCATGAGTTCAGCTCCACAAAAAGGCTGGCCTGAGGATGTAACCCTGCTTCTTTCAGGGACCAAGAGAGCTTCTCTGTGCCATATACAACCCGAGGGAAGTTGGAAACAAGGCTGTAACTCTCAACTTCTAAGGAACCCAGAGAATCCACATAGTCATATAGAGACTGTATTGTCACGGAANCAGGGACCAAGAGAGCTTCTCTGTGCCATATACAACCCGAGGGAAGTTGGAAACAAGGCTGTAACTCTCAACTTCTAAGGAACCCAGAGAATCCACATAGTCATATAGAGACTGTATTGTCGCGGAACAATGAAACCTCCTCCCTTTTCGCTCTCCACTTGGGAACCGCACCAAAACCTGGATGATCCAAGAAAACCAAATAAGAAATATAGGGTTGGAGACACATTAAAAAGCATTCGTGAGATATAAGGTTGAAAACACTGAAACACCTATATAAGGAGTCACTGTGGGATTCGTGTTGGTGCAGTTTTCAAAATCCTCTTAATTTATTCCACCCATAATTTCTAAATGATTTCAAACTTTTTTGTACTTTTTATGATATAAACTTCAAAAATGGCATGCATTTTAAAGATTTATCAGTGGTTACGTGAAATTCAAATACTCAAAACATACACAAGGTAAACTAAAGGAAGAGGAGATTACTTGAGTAACATCAGGTCCTTTTTCAGGTTCAGTGCCAAGTGAGAGGGCTTTCTCTTGGCGCATTCTAACCAATGCAGCTTCTTTCTCAGCGGCCTCACGTGCTGCTCTTTCACGAGCCTCTTCTTCCTCCTTTCGCTTCCTCTCAGCTTCAGTAGCTTCCCTTTCCAGCCGTTCTCGCTCTTCTTTCCTCTGGTGTTCCCTAGCCTGAATAAGACAATGCAGTTAATGATGTCATACATTACTTCCACGAGCTATAAACTTGTGTCTGTACAGAACGGAGAAGCAAGTTATTGACGAGGACTAACCTAGCATATGATAAATATCAAGCCAATAGTCAAAGAATACCATACCTGATCAGCTTCGAGTGCTGCTCGATAAGCAGCATCTTGCTCCTCCCTCAAACGTATATTGTTTCTTCGTTCCTCAGCGTCAAGCCTAGCTGAAACAAGGACAGGAGCAGTTTCTTCCAGCACTCTTTGCAATATCATGAGCATTTCTTCTGGGGATTTCGGCCCCTCAACCTGCATGCACAATTATACCAACTCTGAACATGGAAAATGAAAAACAATGGATTTTCACCCTTCAAAAAGATTGTGACTATATGGTGGAAGGACACAAGAAGATAATACAATACAAGGTTGACCCTTTTTATTTTTTTTGGGGAAAAGGAGGGGGTCTTGGGGTGGAATACACATAATCTGCCTCCTCTCCACTGGAAAACATGGCGTTTTTCGCATGAGCTTTTATACTAAACTAGGTGGATTAAAGAGCCAAAGAGTCGACGGAAAATAATTACATTTCTCATCATTTTGGGCAACAACAAGTCAAGGCATAGATATTTAGGGCATATAAAGAAAGGCAAGAAGAATATGAGGGGATAAATAGAAAAATCCATTATCATAAATCAAATGGCAAAAAAACAAACATATGCAGTTGGGTTCTTGATGGATGGAAAAGTATGTCTATGATGTCAAATCATATTGAGGAAATGGTTAACCAAAACATACAAACCTAAAGGGAGATGCAAAGAGCATTCAACAACACTAATGTAATGATACATATACTTTTACTGCGTTGCAAACAAGCATCTCCACAAAAGTTTGTCCCAAGACTCCCAACTATTTGACATTAATTACATGAACCTTGTTTCACTATTTTAAATTGCCAAGGGCCATGTTCGTGCTGTAAATAAGGAGCAAAAGCTTAAGATCCATCACAGAATTCTTCTGAAAAGAATATTTGCAGCAGCTACTTGAGGCCCAAAAGCAAGTGAGCACTCAGCACAACAAAACAATACTCCTCACAACAGCTGCTATTTACATTGGACATTAGTTCTGTGGTTGAAAAAAAATAAGTACAAATTAATTTTTTGATAGAGTAAGGTACTAATTTGTAACAATTATTTAAGCAAACTGCCAAATTTTACTAAGAAGAAGTGGAAGAGAAGAGAAAATAGGAATAATGAAATAAGATTGGTCTATTTGTGTGTACTCCTTACCACATATTTTATACAAGTTTAGATGCTCACAATAGGAAAGTAAACAATTAGGAAACCCTAAATAAGAAATCTAACAACTCTAACATATTTAATTTAGAGGAAAATAGCATCTGATAGTGTTGTAAGATGGAAGATAAAAGATCACATTATGAGTCATACACCACATGCAGATCATATCACATTTCCATCTCAACGATCTATGTGATAGGTGACTACAAAATTATGGATGACTGATGCAAGGGATTAACTCATGCAAATGCTAACTTGAAGGAAAGGTTTTAAAAATACACACACATGCACACATAAGACATTCATAGGAGAAAGATGACATATCAAAACTCCAATCTAAAAAATCTATCCTGGATATAATTTAAAAGCATAGTTGTCGGTATCATACAATTCGTCTCGATACAATACCCAACCAAATGTATCATACGAGTTGTATCATTTTTCACTGAGTCGTGCGACTCATTTCAATACAATAAAAAAATGATTCGTGCAATATCGCATCATCTTTTTCAAAAGGCCTATTTTTTTTTACTTTAAATAGTAATACAACNAAATAAGTACAAATTACTTTTTTGATAGAGTAAGGTACTAATTTGTACCAATTATTTAAGCAAACTGCCAAATTTTACTAAGAAGAAGTGGAAGAGAAGAGAAAATAGGAATAATGAAATAAGATTGGTCTATTTGTGTGTACTCCTTACCACATATTTTATACAAGTTTAGATGCTCACAATAGGAAAGTAGACAATTAGGAAACCCTAAATAAGAAATCTAACAACTCTAACATATTTAATTTAGAGGAAAATAGCATCTGATAGTGTTGTAAGATGGAAGATAAAAGATCACATTATGAGTCATACACCACATGCAGATCATATCACATTTCCATCTCAACGATCTATGTGATAGGTGACTACAAAATTATGGATGACTGATGCAAGGGATTAACTCATGCAAATGCTAACTTGAAGGAAAGGTTTTAAAAATACACACACATGCACACATAAGACATTCATAGGAGAAAGATGACATATCAAAACTCCAATCTAAAAAATCTATCCTGGATATAATTTACAAGCATAGTTGTCGGTATCATACAATTCGTCTCGATACAATACCCAATCAAATGTATCATACGAGTTGTATCATTTTTCACTGAGTCGTGCGACTCATTTCAATACAATAAAAAAACGATTCGTGCAATATCGCATCATCTTTTTCAAAAGGCCTATTTTTTTTTACTTTAAATAGTAATACAACGTTATTTTCCTATGTGTTATTTGTTATTTTTTGTTTTGATCTCAAACAAAAGAAGCTCTCGATTATCTTCTTATCATGAAATCATCATTTTCTTCTCCTGCATCTTATTTTTTTCTTACAAAACCATAATTATATTTCAATTCTGTTGTGAAGACAAACAATTGTCTCCCTTTTGATCTCTATTGGACAAACACCACACGAAATGATGAGTGAGTTGAAATAGTATTTATATTACTTCAAACACTACATTTTTTTTCTTGGGGGCCCGGGGGGGAGGAGGGGGTGTATAAATTTTTTAAATTGGGTATATCTTTCAATACACGATACATTTTTTTCCAATAATATACAATACATGATATGTTACGACACATAATACACTTTTTTGAAAAAGATACATGTTTTGACAACCTTTGCTTACAAGTATCAAGTATGACATCACAACCAACTACTTTTAATTTAGCTCAAGCGCTTAGTCAAAACATCCTAAAATGCATTTGATCACCAGATTTTCATATCCAAAGCTTGCCACAAGAAATAACTATACCCATATACACAATGGATCCTTATATGGCAAAATTGAATCCCAATCTATGGGGGTGACCCTAAAAATTTGGCAAATAAATTAGCTAGCAGCCTAGCATCTCCATGCTAACAACTAATTCTAGATCATCTTTCCTCCATAAACGAGATCAAAGCAANCAGCCTAGCATCTCCATGCTAACAACTAATTCTAGATCATCTTTCGTCCATAAACGAGATCAGAGCAAACAAATGTCTATGTTAGTACAAGCACAATGACTGATTATGTTAAAAGGAAATATTTTTGCCACCATCTTACACATAGAAACATTTCCTTTAGCTTTAAGCCCAACTCTTCCAAAATTGTTTGTGATCAATAAATCATTGGCATAAAGAGAAACAGTTTGAACCACTAAATGTTATCTTGAGTGGTAAATCTTCTATCTTTAAAGAAGTAGGCACATTATTCAATTTCAGGTTGAGACACGAATGAATGCGCAATGCGATATGCAACTTTTTAATGAGAGGTGTACTACAATCGGCACCTAGATAAATAAACAAATAGATGAAAAAGTGACACCAACAGGCAGTGCAGCAGCTAACAGAGATTACTTGAAGGTGTCCAACAAAAAGAAATCTAACATGTCTGGGCAATCAATATCACAAAAAGGACTCCCAATTTTTTTCACCAAGAAATTCTTCTTTTCAAATTCTCAACTTTTCATGCGAGATATATCCAATGATTAGTTCTTGCACACAAAAAATGGTAAAAAAAATGGATAATGCTAAAATAGGATCAATAGCTCAAAACCCCCTAATTGATACCTGCTGAAGCAATGCAATTCTCTGGTTCGTGGCCGCCATGACCACAGCACAAAACGGATACCTTGAAGCCTTCAAGCTATTACTCATTTTGAACCCCTCACTAGCCCTAATGTTCCCACCCCAAGCAATAAAATTCTCGTTCACAAATGCCACCAGAGCCTCATTACAGAGAGTCCTCTCACAAAATAACGGTGTATCTAGATGATCCGGCGAGTGTAGGTACACAAATAACAGCTTAAAAGCATGCCTAGACCTCTGCAAAGCATCCATAAACACTTCAGGAACGAAATTAGGACCAGTACTCCCATAATCCCTCTCAAATTTCGTCACGAAATCCATGGCCTCTGATGCGGCGGCCGAAACCGAAACCAGTGGAGACGAAGAGTCTCCATTCCGACCCGAGTTAAGACCAATCTTACTTAAAGAATATGATAAAACACCGCCGGCGGCCCACAATCCAAGCCCAATTGCACCAGAAATTAAACCTAGACTACCAGAAATGATAGAAAACGGGAGGGTTAAAAGCTTCCTTGCCAAACCTGGTGGTGCCGTACCTTCAGTGATCAATGCGGAACGTTCGAGTTCTTGATTTGTATTTGGGTTCGACAGTCCGCTACTTCCGACCTCAGCCATGGTGGTGGTGGTAGTGGCGGCTGGAGGATTATCGGAGGAATTTGTGCCAGTGAAAGCAGAGATTGCTTGCTCGAGGTCCCAATTGTGGGCAGAAAGGATCTCTGTACACAAATCAGGGTCTTCGAGGCCTGTGATTGCCTGAAAGTAAGCTATTTTATCAGCCACATCAACCATATTTATATATCCGTACTATGCAACTCTCTATCTCTCTCTCTCTCCGCGTGAAATATCGACAAAGTTGGAGTCTTGCGGATGGAGAATCAAAGAAATAGGGTTCCAACGATAGTGAAGACTCTCTCTCTCTCTCTCGCTGTCTATTCGTTCGAGGAAATGTCCAACAAAAAGACACGGATTATTGGAGTGGGGGATTTAACGACGACGACGGGCGATAATGATCAGGTCAGTTCAGTTAGTAAATCTGAATTGACGGAAATGTCCGTAACTACTATAGAAATAACGAGACTGCCACGTAAAGATTTTCAAACATTGGCTGCTTTGCACCATCGCACCGACGACGGCATTCATGTCCCACGGCAGATGAAGTTAGAGGTTAGTTTAATGGTCACGGTTCTATTCTATTCTTGGATCTTAAGATTGTAAATTCAAATTATATTATTTTTAATTAAATTTTATTTTATTAGAAAAAAAAAAATCTATTTTATATGACACCTTAAAATTAATTCATTTATGCATGTTATGGTTGTACTGTAATATTATGAAATTTTTATATATAAGACACTCAATCTAAAAATAAATCAAATCCCTCTATTTGAAAATCACCCATAGTAACTGCGGCAACATCTTCTTTTTTGTTTTTTTAGAACCCAACTGTAGCAATCTTGTTGAGCCTACAATCTCTCTATTTGCCTTTTTCAATTTTTACTGAAAATTAATGTAAGGAAAACAAAGGTTAGATAATTCACCTGCTTAAATGTCCAAAATCTGAATATGAACACAGGAATCCTGGATAACATTCAAATATTTTATCTTCTATTGATCCAAAAGCCGTATCAATTGCTGTTTGAAGGTCATCTTCACATCACTAGATCAATATATTATAAAAGATGTTCGCACAAACTTGAAACAAACAATTCTTCGGCTTCGTCGGGGTAAGGAGGAATTCACCAAGGGCGAGGACTACACCTTAAAGGCATAATAAGTTAATAACCCCATCAAACTAAGCACAAAAAAAGTTTGTACCAAAATATCAACTGTATAAACTCATCATAATATGCAAGGACTACAAACAAAATCTACAACACTTTTACAGGTTTTCATACTAGACTCATTCACCGGCAAAACAGTTCAATTAGAAGGAAAGAAAGAACGAAACGAAAATGTAAGCAAGAAGAATGGAGAATCATAGGGCATTGCAACTCATTGAAGTTCCTTAATCAAAGGCTTGCCCCTGCTTTCCACTTTATCCTCCATCCTCATAGTACCTATTTTATTGCCTCCGTGTTCCATAGCTGAACGCTGTTCTACCTTCACAATGGCCGCTAAGGAAGACCAAGCTTCTCCTGGCTGCTTGTGAACCCAACACATAATGAAATACACTTTCCTCTGAACCAACTTTAGCTTATTCTTCAGTTCCAACCTTTTCGACTTCTGTTGTTTCTCTGACTTCAGTTCCCTCTCTGCAGTCTGAATAAGCCTCTGCAGATCACAAAGCATGCAGACTAAAGCAGCACCACCCAAAGAGAGTAGGCTTATTACATCATCCATAAGCCCCAAACCAAATTGCAAGCCACCCATGTGTCTGAAAGCTGGAGAGCAAGTTTGCTCCAAACAATGAGACAAAGCTTCCAACAGTGTCTCTGGCTGCGCACCTTTACCCAGAACAGAAGATATACTTAACACCATCATTGCTGATCCTAAGCCATCTGATTGCCAATCTCCATTGTAAAGGCGAAGGGTGAAACAGTAGCTATATATGATGTCAACTAGGTGAACTGCTAACAGGGGTGATGGTTCGGTGGAGCTAAGCTTGCTAACTGGGGGAAGAGGGGTTTCTGGGCCAGGTGGAATGTCATGCAATTGATCACTTTCCATATCATCTTGCTGTGATACCACCATTTTATGCTTGACAAGTGGTTGAACAAGTTGGGTTCCTTCCTGGCTGAGAGATATTGTTCTGGCGGGAAGTTTCAACCACCAAGGATCCCATGGCTTAATCAGCTTGCTTAACTCTCCAGAAGCCACTGCTCTTTGGAAACGTTTCTTTTCCTCCACAGATAAATCATCAAGACTAATTTGATTCCCTATAAAGAAAAAGGCCGATATTCTCAAGTTAGCTTGGATCAATAAAATTGAGTACAGAAAACAACAATCAAAATATAAAAACTCCATGTCAGCCACTAAAGAAAGGAAAGGAAAGGAATATATCTGAGCATACCAACCAGAATCTTTTGGGTCGTCTCCTCTGACAGAGTTGACTCTGAGGAAACATAAAAAGGAAAGAATGAGAAATCTTTTGATGCAATTGGAATTGCAAAGAACAGGTGATACAAATTGCAATCGGTGTAGTACAAAAGATTCATAAAATGTCAAAAAACAAACAACAAATCTATAGCATGGTCAGGGCCACCTCTACAAATAAAGAATTTCGTTGTATAAACGATTATCTCAAAATAATTACAGCATAGTTAGGCAATTTCTCTTTAGTCAAGCAATACTCAACTAGACCAAAATCATTAGTTCTAAGGTACCACAGCAATTCAGAGTGAGCACAAGCGAAGATTAATAAAGTCTTATTCGGGATCATCATATCATCAAAATGTCTTAGTAGGCAGTGTTCTCCTGTCCCATGCCCTCAAGTAGATAGATGCAGACAAGTCCTCTGAGGTTTGCCAAAATTAAACAGGAATTCACTTGCTGGCTGACTCATAGGGTGATGTAGTATTTGATGTTCTCATGGAGCCATGAATGAAGTTAGTTTTCAAAAGTGAGCTACAATCTACCAAACAAATAAAAACACGCAGCCATGAGAGAAATTCACTTTCAAGAATGAGACGATTTTCTGGTGAAAAAGATACAAAAAATTTTAATGGCATTCTTTGGTATCTTCCATTTATTTGACCATCTAATAAGTTGCCTGCTGGACTGCCAAACTAGAGGTATCTGCTTTTTGAGGTTGTTCCCTTGTTGGTCTTATTTATGAAGCACACTTAACGTTATTTCGGCCAAATTGGTCAAATAATCAAGCTTCTTCAACTTGTGATCTTTGGACATGATCTACACAGCTTAGGTGACTTTAACCAAGAGACACCTTCATTTTAAAATAACCCCTTTGTCGGTCCACAATTCCCAGGTCATATAGAACCAGTTAATAGCATAATTAATGGCCATAATTCCAAATACTAATTTGAGCAGGGAAATCAAGATGAAATCTAGCATAACATGGAGTTACATGTTGGCAAAAGGAAATAATAAATATAGAGACTAAGTTGCCATTACAAGGAAATAATAACGCGACCGATGTGTCTCAATCTGAGAGTTCCGAGTCAATGACCGATATTACGATCTTAAACCATATTATTGTGTGATCACTCTTTGAATACAGCAAAAGAACATCATTTCCACCACCCAGATTGTTGATCGATTTTTAGAAACCACTGACAGAGGAGACAAGTAGCCTAAACACGTTGGGCGTGTAAGCCATAAGAGACACATAAAATTTTCGGGAATTCCCAATGTAAAATTAACAATTGGCAGTTTCAACAACATAAATTGAAGACAAATAAATTCTTTATGTAAACAACCAACAGAGAAAACATACCATCCTCATCTGAACTATCCATCTCCTTTTCTGAATGGAATCGTTTAAGTATTTCTGTCATTTTTTGTTTGTTTTCATCATCAGGTTGCAATTGCCTCAGCTCCTCCATTACATTTTCCCTCATAAATGATTCTGTGCAGCGAAGACTATGAGACTGCCACAAAGCGCCAAACGATAAATTAGCAAGCACAAAAGAATGATATGCCAACAGTGTCGGCTCACAGTTATGTTTAAGCGCATAATGACGATAGGGAAATACATTGAATATATCAGTTTAGATTCGCAATTGACAGAACAAAGGGATGCTTGTGACTAATCAGCAACCTTAAGATCCTAAAAACATTACTTTATTTCAGTCCTCCTAAATGAAATTTCACACAAACTCATGCTCACCTTGTAACATGGAAGGGAACAATAACGCATATTGCACTGAGGGCAAGTATATTGTGAGAATTGTTTTTCGCATCTGCACAAAAAAAAACAAATTCCAGAAGACTAATTATATGAAGCGAAAATAGTAACGAATTAAGCCATCTGAAAACACTGCGACATGTTATTGGAAGAAAGAACTTACACACGACAAATTATACGGGATGATGGATTCGACGAGGACGAAGTCAATGGCATCTCTGAACCGAGGATCGTCTCCGACATTGGCAAAGCTGACGAATAGAGAAGCAAATTGTTTTGGAGACCGTCGATCTTGGAGGGTTTTGGATAGAAAACCCCTGTAGGCTAATACGTTCACAACAAATTTCTAAATAAACTTCTAGAAAACACGAGACTATGAGTGTGTCTGGGATGACTTATGAAATCCAAAAAGTACTTTTTTAATAAATATTTAACAAAAGTGTTTATAAAAAAAACACTTTTATTAAATAAGTATTGTTTGGATATTCAAATTTAAAATACTTAAATTAATGTATTTTATAAAAAGCATGTTTGGATGTAAAAACACTTATATGTGTCACAATTGTTAATAGCATTGAATGCACATATACAAACATACACTACACATATAATGATACACAAAAAAAAAATATATCATATTAATAAAGGTATCATACGACAAAACTACATAGTCCAACTATCTCAAGGATATACTAAAGTCACAAAACACATGTTAATAGTAAATACAATCAAAAATCATACTTGATTGTCCCTCAAAATTGCTNTATATCATATTAATAAAGGTATCATACGACAAAACTACATAGTCCAACTATCTCAATGATATACTAAAGTCGCAAAACACATGTTAATAGTAAATACAATCAAAAATCATACTTGATTGTCCCTCAAAATTGCTGAAGCAATACATTATCTCTTCCTATACATTGAATTTGTATCTGACAAATCAATATTCTCTCAAAAAACAGTTTGGTTTACATTGTCTTCGTCTTCTAACTCCATATCTTCATTAGCATACCTTGCAAATAATACGTCTCTGATGCCATGATGCCTTATGTAATTGTGACAAGTCATGCAAACGAGAACAATAAACATTTGCTTAGTGAAATAAAACTGGGCATTTGCTTTGTCTTCGTCTTTGTCATTCCTATAACTACTAGAAGTCATCTAAAGTAACATCACAAAATACATGTGTTGTTAGCACAACGCGTATAATAATAACTAACCTGAACAAAGCCTTGTATAAATTTCATACATCCTTTCTTCTACAACATGTGCATGATAGCCACAATTGACACAAGTTATTCTTACATTGCTAATACAAAGAATTCAATACAAAACTTTCTGAGGCCTCCTTGATTAACATGCATTTATATAAAATAAAGATCAGGAAAGTAAAATTAATGACATCGTTCAACAATGTCATTAATTGTAATAAAAAGAATCAAGCAGTTCAGTGAAAATAAATGAATCCTTAGTCTCCAACCTCATCTGCCCAAGTCAAACTTCACAACAGGAATTCACATTAGTGAATTTGCATTGGTTTTCAATATTTATTTGTCCTTGTTATCTATGACCAATTATTTGAAATTCCATCCTCCATTCTAATCTTCCCTCTAATTTCTTATTACCAAAATCATGATTTGCATTCAAAATGATTTCCAACATTAGGTCTTTTTCTGTTTTCAGAACTGAAATACAATGAAAAAAACACAGAACAACAGATATTCCCAATTGAGCTCCTGATTCTGAACAAACTTTCAATTCCAATAGTAATTTCATCCTTTAAAATCCGTATTTTCCATTTTGTAGTGCAATAACAGGAGCATATATCTAAACTAATACATAAATAGATCTAACAACTCAAAATTAATGATAAAAGAACCCTTTTTTCCAGAAAAATTAAATGTAGAACTCACTGGTTTTAGGGCCAGCTGGGTGGTTCCAGATAGCCTGGAGCTTTGAAGTCGCCATTGATTCTCACTCTCTCTCTCGCTCACTCTCGCAGTCTATATCTAATATCTCTGTTCCGTTGAAAGAATATGGGCTTGCTTTTTAGTTGCTTTTTAGTAGTTGAGTTTGACTAGGGCAGATGAGGTTGGAGACTAAGGATTCATTCAGGTAAGAGGAGTCATCTAGCTCCTTGCAACCAACTACGTGGAACCATATTTGAAACCTCAAAACTATGCCAAGGATTCGCCACTTCTAGTGAGGGTGATCACAATATCTCTGGCAACACAAGAAAATTTGTTTAAGAGGAAATGTGCACCAAATTCAACCTGTCAAATTTGCAATAATCAAGTGGAAACTATTGAACACCTCATTTTCTATTGCAGTTGGACACACAGGGTGTGGTTCGAACATCAGAGCAAGGGAAGAACCAGTTCTCTCGATTCAACAATGGATGTCGGAGTTAATACAAAATTTGGGTTGCCACCAAAAGGTTATAGAAGTTCTTAGTAGAGTGGCTATGACGACATGGACGAATTGGAAAACAAAGAATGAAGCAATCTTTAATGGCCATTAACCCAACCCAATTACGTCTGTGTTCAAAATCTAGCAATTGTGGGGAGAAACAGAGTATGTTAACAGATCAAAAGAAAATTTCCACCCTCGTAATATAGTAACATTCAGAGGTTAATCAACTTGGCTCCCCCCTAGATCCCTTGCAGCAGAAGATTAATTGTGATGATGCTTTCATACATAACACTTAACAAGTTGCTTTGGGGATAGTAATCAGACACAATTGAGGGAGCTTATATTGGGCAAGAAAGCAGTACCCTGAAGGCAATGGACCAACACACAAGCACAAATCAAATATATTCCACATAATATACAAATCTGAGAAAACTCAAACAAAATAGAAATTGAAAGATGAAAAATAGATGGTTCATACGTGTTCGAGTTGGACTGAGATCTCCAATAAACTCCAGAAGAATGAGAGAACGGAGAGGGAACAGTGCTGTCACGATTGCCGGTGATCACCTAACTCTCTAGCATCATCGTCGATGGTCGCCAGAGTGGAAGATGGCCTTCAGTCGGTCACAGCAGAGGTATGGAGAGAGCTACGATGGTGAGGAAGAAAAAAATAAAAATAAAAGGAANCTAACTCTCTAGCATCATCGTCGATGGTCGCCAGAGTGGAAGATGGCCTTCAGTCGTTCACAGCAGAGGTATGGAGAGAGCTACGATGGTGAGGAAGAAAAAAATAAAAATAAAAGGAACTGGGCAAAGTGATTTTGGATAAATAAAAGCTTTATTTTTTAATTTTAATTTTTAAATTTATTTAATTGATAAAATAATTTTAACTTTTTTAAAATTATTTTTAATAAGTAATGTCAAACTCTATTTTTTTTTTTTTTTAAGTATTTATGATAAGTCAAAAATCTTATAAACACTTTTTTTTAAATCAATCCAAACACATTCTATATCTATTGTCGATGAGACAGTTGGGTACACACTGATTTGGGCTAGTTGAGTTAATCAGGCCCATCATAAGATAAGAATCTTCCCATATTTGGTTAAATTAGTGGCCAATTTCGTTAAAAATAAATTAAAAAATCTACTTAACACCACAAAAAAAAAAAAAAAAACTAAGTCCCAAACTTTCATTGTAATCTTGTTAATTTTAAAAAATAAAACCGCTCAGTGTACGAGATTTGTTCATATTATGTGATAATAAATTGAATTGATTTTGATTTGTATAATAAGCTCAAGAAAATAGTTTTGCAACTAAATTATGATTTTTCTTGGGGGACATCTCTTATTGACATGCTGCATGTTGTTGTATCGGAAAAAAATGTATCTGGGAGAATTGAACAGGTAATCTAAGATGTTTGGATACTAGATATTACAATGAAATATTCCTAGGCAAGCAAATTTTCATTCTTATCTGCAAAAAATTATCTGAATGTCGGTTGCTTGAAAAAGCCAGTAGTTTTGACAACCTAATAGTATCATGTCTTGTTGGTTTGTTTTATGGAGTCTAGTTTATATATGTGATCTGGATGATGACCCGATCTGNACAATGAAATATTCCTAGGCAAGCAAATTTTCATTCTTATCTGCAAAAAATTATCTAAATGTCGGTTGCTTGAAGAAGCCAGTAGTTTTGACAACCTAATAGTATCATGTCTTGTTGGTTTGTTTTATGGAGTCTAGTTTGTATATGTGATCTGGATGATGACCCGATCTGAAATAATGTTGTGTGGTTTTTTAATGGAAAATTTTCTGAGGCTTAGTCCATGGAGCGAATTTTTTGGGCCCGTTATATAGCCCAGTGCGTAGGACATATAAACCTTGTTGTTTTGGTGATTAGGATTAATCGTGAATTGTACAGCTGCTCACTGTATTCAACTCTCTCAATAGTGAAATCCCTGCAGTTTCGTGAACGTAAGNAACCCTGTTGTTTTGGTGATTAGGGTTAATTGTGGATTGTACAGCCGCTCTCTGTATTCAACTCTCTCAATAGTGAAATCCCTGCAGCTTCGTGGACGTAGGCAAATTGCCGAACCACGTAAAATCTGTGTCTTGTTCTTTCTTGTTTCTTATTGCTTTATATTCTTGATTTGTTCTTCGATTGTGTGTGTTTGTTAGTGAATTTTAAATCGTGTTAAATGCCAACATGTCTTTTATCTCATAGCCACCCNTTATTGCTTTATATTCTTGATTTGTTTTTCGATTGTGTGTGTTTGTTAGTGAATTTTAAATCGTGTTAAATGCCAACATGTCTTTTATCACATAGCCACTCATTGGAAGTGATTTATTGCTATTTAGTATCATATGCTTTNCGAACCACGTAAAATCTGTGTCTTGTTCTTTCTTGTTTCTTATTGCTTTATATTCTTGATTTGTTCTTCGATTGTGTGTGTTTGTTAGTGAATTTTAAATCGTGTTAAATGCCAACATGTCTTTTATCTCATAGCCACCCATTGGAAGTGATTTATTGCTATTTAGTATCATATGCTTTGAGGCTCCTGCAGATTTTTTTTAATCTGAGAAGCTGTTAATGGTATAGGGATCGACCATGTAGTAGCGTTTGATTTTTTTCCTATGGTCACAGCATCAGGTATTGAAGATTATGTGTAATTGGGAGGCCATNATCTGAGAAGCTGTTAATGGTATAGGGATCGACCATGTAGTAGCGTTTGATTTTTTGCCTATGGTCACAGCATCAGGTTCGCTCTCAAGTATAATCACCATTTCAAGCTAGGAAATAAGCCATCAAGTTGCTGAACTTGTATAATTTGTTCAAGCCCATGATAAAACTTTCTGTTCTTTCCCTATTTTGATCAGAAATCAATTGAGAACTTTTTATTAAGAAGGGATATCGGAAAAGATGAGAGGCATTCTAAACTCGGGTCTCATCCATCCATACATTAGAGTTTAAAACAAACCTATTAAGTTTAAACAATGCGTGAGCGACTATATTTCTATTTCCAGTTCTCTTGACAATAAATAAGTCATCCTGCCTAAAAACATCCAACCCAGATTTATATCTGCTATCAAACTTTGTGGCATAGCAATGTAAATGCTGGTTGGTTGCCTTTGTCATTATAAGCAGGTCAGCTGGTTCATATGTGCCTTTCGTGATGTGAAATTCAGCCAATGCAGTTAACTAACCGTCAGACCCTTTGAAGCGCCTTCATGGTTTCATTATCTTTCTGTTGATCTGGTACAATATTCTGGTTAGATTGGTTTTGTTTGGGCTTTTCATCAGATGCAGGCTTAAATTGAGCCAAGTCTGATAGTTCTTCAACAGCATCAACAATGTCTTCAATCCTTCCGGTGATTTCAATCAGTAAAGAAGCAACAGTCACCAGTGGAATGATGTCCACAAGAGGTGTTATGGTGGTGGTCAAAATTGGTTCTGCTTTCTCGTTTTGGGCAGTTTTGGCCTCTGTCACTGGTGGTGAAATGAGTAAACCAGGAAGGGCTTCCAAATCATTTTGGAGATCTACTACTGCGTTGTTTACTTCTTCAATTGAGATATCTATTGTGGAGGACAGAGTCATTGTTGTGATGCTTTTTGCTAGCTCTCTTAAGATACTTGACGACTTGGAGCTCACTCTCAAGCAGGTCTCATGCACATGATTCTTTAAGAACTCGGGGGCCTGCAGTTTAATAGCATCGAGTTATATTATAAGTCAACTAAGTAACAATCTGAGAGAAAAAAAAAATTGAAAAATCCCTGACAGACAGAAGAATTAAGAGTCTGAGGGTCTTTTAAAAGAGCTAAACTACNAATAGCATCGAGTTATATTATAAGTCAACTAAGTAACAATCTGAGAGAAAAAAAAATTGAAAAATCCCTGACAGACAGAAGAATTAAGAGTCTGAGGGTCTTTTAAAAGAGCTAAACTACTGGCAGATTGAGGTCACTCCTTTGCAGAAAAATCAAGTATATTAGAATGTCAAAAAGTTTCAGTTTTACCTGGTTTTCTAAGTTGATGCAACTATTTAGTGTCTCTATGCAGTAAGCACAACTTCGCATTGATGCTCCAATTTTGAGGTATTGTTTCCATGGATGCTGGAAACTGAATCGACCATGGGCAGGCTCCCATCTAGCGAAGGCCGCCTGTACAGAACAAATTCCCATATCCTTATTTATTTGAAATACTGTACAAAGGAGTTGAGAATTGATTTGTGTACTATTTATCCTGTCACATACCATGGAATCTTCTGTTGCTTTTGAATTCAGTACACATTTGTAGGCTGGCATTCTCTTATTCAAGTCTTCATCACCGCTGGTGATGCTTCCACTCTCACTTAAATACACAGTGACACAACCTGAAGAAGGTGGTAAAAATGCTGTCATACTTACAGAAATTACATGAAATTAACAGTGAAGTGCTTAGATGACAATATGCAAGCACTTACAATCCAAGGAATTGGCAAGTTTGTCCATGTTACGGGTGATGAGAAGATGAAGCTCATTGCCAGCCCAAATGGGAAAGACAAGCATGCTTGTGAGAATGCACAAAGCAGTCCCAATAATAATAGTTGATAGTCTCTCTTGGGCCATAACTAGCAATTTCTCCACCCGATAACCAGATACTGAGACCAAACAGAAAGTGAGGATGAAGATCATAGCACCATAATCAAACCGTGCTTTTATTGCTGGAATAAATCTTGAGAAGGTTGCTGCAGAAGCTGAAAATAGATAACAAGTAGGCTAAGTCCATAAATCCATATGCAAATGCATTGCTGCAAAAATATATTCCCATAGTAAACTTTGCATACCTAGTAGGAAAACTGCAGCTCCCATGATTATAGGCTCAAATTTCTCTCCTGATTGACTAGCAACCCAATGGACCCCAACTGCAAGAAATCCAGCTAGCGAAGTTCCCATAGCTCTGTTCAGGCATTTGCAGATTGTTGCACCTGCCATTTAATGTAAGTTTAATTAGCTTGCATTTCAATTCCACCTTCGGTGCAGGTCAAATGTGATGCTAGGTTTTATGATGATGATATCAGGTTGAACACCAAAGCAAGTCTCACTTGATGAATATTTGTGAAACCATTCATCTTCTGCTGTTTACATGAATCCCTTAAAATCCTGATCAAAGGTTCTGATGTTATGCAACTTACCTTAATATCATATAGCGACTGGACCTGATAATTACAAATATAGGAATGATATGAAATATATAGATGTTCAAATAAAACAAGCATGTGTAGGGAGGGTGCCTTGGGGGGGGGGATTTTTTTTTTTTTTTTT